ACACACACACACACACACACACACACACACACACACACACACACACAAAGAGTTAAACATATGACAAGAGCATAATATATGGAGAGTTGTGAAAAACTGAGCAAAATGATCACAAACTAGTTTTGGTTTAAGTTGGTCCTCGCTGTCTCCGTGGCCCAGCCTTCCATAACGACCTTTGCCCCAGGTGAAGAGCTCACCGCTGGCTGTGATGCAGGCACTGTGAGCACCTCCAGCTGCAATATCCACCACTTCTATTCCCCTCAGGGACTCAATTACACGAGGACGGTCACAAGGGCTAAAGTTAAGAGGAATCCCAGTTATAACAATAGCTCAAATATTTACATAGCTTTATTCCTTAAATATTGATACGAGCTTGTATCATGACTTTAAAAACAGAAAGTAGAATTTAAAAGCATTCTTTATTTGCCAAAAGTTTACCTTCTGTTTCCATGACCTAGTTTGCCATCCTCAGCCTCTCCCCAGGAGTAAACTTCTCCCTCAGAGGAAAGGGCCAGGCAGTGCTTCCCTCCTGAGTTCACCGCCACCTTCCTGATAAAGACATGCTGGATGGACTCCAGTAAAGTTGGAGTGGACACAGACTCTGTTCCACCAATACCCAGCCTGCCCCCTGCTCCATATCCAGTTGCATACAGCTAAAAATCAAATAAAGCAAATGTATCACTTCACATTTCTTTGGTCCATTCATTGGTAATCAGTATTCCTGCGAAAGAGCTTTGGACAAAAAAATGTGCAGCAAAGATCATATCATGTCTGAAGGTATGAACTTATTAGAGACCTTTCCATCAGCAGTGACGGCAAACAGAGTTTGTTCTCCTCCGATAAGCTGTACTGGTCTCAGTGTGGCGAGAGCTTCAGTGGGTGTAGGAACTTTGACTTTTGCCCCCTCTATACCCCCCAGCTGCCCCCTGTGGTTGTGGCCCCAACCGTAGATAGTACCACTCCCTCCAGCAGAGAGCGTCCAGTCATCTGGGCGTCGGTTCATCCACTGGACAAGCTGCTCATCGTGCTCACGCTTGAACAAGTCATGGCTTTCATGTAGTCCATTCATGCTTTCGTGATCTGCCATGAGCTCACATATTTTCTTAGTAACCTTTGAAGGAAAAAACTAAATTTCAGAACTTGTTTTGGGTAAAAGCTAATGGTTGTCACAGACAGGCACACCTACCTCATCTAGGAAGATTCGTGTTAGGGAGGTTCTCTTATCAAAGGCCACCGCCACCCTGGAGGCTGTGCAGTATCGACGGAACCAGGCCCACTTATGTGTCTCAGCACAGCAGGGTAATGTATCGAGCTCCAGGTCACAAGCTAGAGCAACCAAGACCTGAACAACAAATTTGTCTCTGTGAGAAATAATAAAATCTTTAAACATTTAAGAAACTCCAAACATTTATGCGTTTTATACCTTGAAAAATGGACTGTGAAGCAGCTGCTTGCCTCCTCTGACTATGGGGTCCTCATACTCATACTGCCTCTGCAAAGCCTCAGGAAGTCCTTTTACAAGAGCAGCCAGAGCACTGCCTGTAAAACTCTGGAAGAGCATAAGATATACATTAGAGTTAAACATACAGCCCTTGTTTTTCTAAACTGGGGCTCTGTCTCGTTTATTCCTGATTTTATTTAGTTTCTCATTTTTCTCATTCATAAGAATAAGTTAACTTTGTACAAGTAAAGCAAGATCGTAAGTAAACAAACTTTGGGCAAGATTAATGTCATTAATTTAAGAAATAAACAGAGAAAATCAAACACCACTAATAGAATGCTTACAATGAACAAAATTAACAACTGAAGGTGACAACGTTAACATAAACAGAGCAGTCACTGAAATGACACAAGTGCGTGTCTACTTTATGTGCTACACATAAAATACTGTTAACACAGCTAATATAGGCACAACGCTAAACTAAATTAACCACCAAACACAAAAAAAACACGTCTATATTGGACACAGTGATTCTATAAATTCTGGTTATACAGTGGGCAATTCAACTGATTCAATTTAAGATGAATGTCAACAGGAAGTCTGACTCTGTACTCACAATGGACCGAGCCTCTCCTTCGCTGTCTCCTAGCAGCCTGTTTATATTGATGGACTGCCCATACTCTGTGGTCAGAAGCTTGCGGAGCCTCTGCAAGGCCCACATTCTGTGTCCAGCAGCTGAACGTGATAAAATATTAATATCTCACTGAGAAAATTACCTTTAACATCAAAAATATTGTTTCAAATACACTTAAAAATAAAAGTTGTGGTTAATTCTGTTTTCATCTACACTGCATTTAATAATAATTATGATAAGATTCAGATTATCATGTAATACCTAATGCACTGAGCTGGGCACAAGCAGCAAGAGAAGCAGCTAGGCGAGGCACAATGCTCCTGTTGGATGCAAAGTTCAGCCTGAAATCCAAGAGGCATGTGACCAAGTCCATGGAGGGGCAGGACAAGATACAGCGATCAGATAGCAAGTCTTTGGGGCCTACAGAAAAACAAAGCAAGTTAAATGTCACAAACCACAGCAGCACTTTTTATTTATCAATGAAATGGTCGTTGGCTAAAGAACAAAACTAGAGTGAAAGCTTTGGGACATGTGCCACACAGCTCACCAGCTGCAGGCATGATGGGGTAAACGGTGAAGCGCCAACCCCAACCATTAACTGAACCATCACTTGTAAACTTCCATTTGAGCTCATCTCCTGGGATCCTTAACTCACTGGACCAATCGGACCACTCTCGACCTCAAACACACAAATCAGGCAACAACATGAATTCTTTATCCTCTTTGCATATATTGTATTTATAAGTATGGCATACAGTGTCTCCCTCTCATCACCTGATCGGACAGAGACAACCCTGTTGGCTTCATCCATGATTGTTAGTGGGTCGTGGCGCCTCTCAGTTGAACACTGCCGGTCAAACTCTATCCTTAAACCCTCAGCACCTACAGGAAAAAAGAACATTTGACATACTTGAAAAAGATCAGCCCCTTCCACAGAACTCAATCTCAATGAAACAAATGCTTGGTTTATTTTTACCTGGGATCTTCACGGTGCCGCTGGTAGATGTGTCATCAGTGTAAGGATGGCTGCTCTCTACAACTGCTGGCTGGGAGGACAGCCTACCACTCTGTGAATCTGTGGCAACGTCTTCCAATTCAGTGACACACAACTCCAACAGCATGTCAGCAACCTGTACAGCACAGAAACACAAAGATGACAAATGTAAGGATGCTGCAGGTCGGCACATGTCTCCCTGTAAAATATAACAAAATGTTACCTGTGGGTATGCTGTACCCATGCCTGATAGCACAGAAGACAGCACCTCCTTGCCTTTGTCCCCAGAGCGACAAGACACTGCCAGCTTCAGCAGGTCCACCATTACTCGAGTATCATCAGGCACAAGCAGACTTGTGAACTCATCCAGGTACTGAGGCTCTGGACCAACAACTTTACTCTGGCTTTCTGAGTCCTGAGATAAGAAACAAAACAAGACTGATGGCTGGAGTTAATGGCACAGTGTAAAGTACACATTATGAATAGGCTACTTTCTGGTTTAAAGATATAACATGGTGTTAAAAGTTATGGTGTACCAATCTTAAGGTTTAAATTCTTTATACTGAGACAGAAGATCAATGCTGAGTTTTCTCCAGTCATCTTGTGCTCCCACTTTCCAACCTGTTGCTGCAAGCTGTAAAGTTTGTTGTCATACTACTCTGCAAGAACAGAAAAGTGTGTTCATTTACTCGAGGTGGCAAGAGCAAGAACTAAGCTTGCTGGCCAAGACTATTTATAATTCAGGACACTCAGGTGCAGAATGATGGGTAAATAAATATCCTATTATTTGTCTACCGCAATTCTCTGGCTTTAAAACACACCTGTCTCTAAGCTGCACTTATTAAATATAAGATAAATTCATAATTTTGAGCATTAACAAGACACTCCGGTTATTTAGCTGCGGGTATACACCATTCATCGTCAGGATCTGTGCCCCCAGCCTGCGTCGGCAGTGTGCTGCTTTCTTGTTGTAGTACAAGAATCAGCCAGCAGATGGTGTTTCACAGAAACTTGTTTTCAATACACGCTCAGACTACAAGATCGTCACAAGTCTTCATGAAGCTTCGCTGTCTTGACTCTTGGCTACAACCATTGTACCTTCAAAATGAACACAATAACTATCTAAGCATAATCACTGGACAGAACAGTGCCAAACACCTACGTAACTGAAATTATTTAAAAATTATTTACTAGTAAATACTACCCAGAAGTCTTATCGAGGTCATGTGATTGGAAGTCAAATAGTACCAGTGGAATGTGGTTAACAGTCATTAAATTAGTACCATTGATTTTTATTGGTAAACACTTTTGTTAACAACCGCTGTTTTGGTAAATGGACTGCACTTATATAGCACCTTTCTATCTTATTTCAAGATACTCAAAGCACTTTACAATACAATCTGTGCCTCATTTACCCATTCATACAGCTCTATACTAGATCTCTACAAAGCTAATTGAACAAATCATTCTAATGAGACTAATCAGTGCTTTAGATCATATTTCATACACTGATGGGACACACATCAGAGGCTATGAGGGGTTCAGTGTCTTGCCCAGGGACACTTCGACATGTGACTGCTGGAGGATTCGATCCCCCAACTCTTGCAATGGAGGACGACTGCTCTAACCACTCAGCCACAGCCTCCCCAAATGCGTTTTGAAATGTACTTTCTAAATAAATTTGATGTGATTCTCCTCAGCACTGCTCATATGAGGAGAGGAACAGTCCCTCCCTCCCGTTGTCTCCTCCTGTTGTTCACCGCTTGGTGTTTGGATGAGAGTTTAAGATGAGATCCCGGTATTTAAATACATATTTACAGACACAGAAAGAATTTTAAAACCTATACAGTATTAAAACATGTACCAGACTTGACTGCTTTTGCGTCTCCAATCCTGACCATCAACACTTTGATGCAGCTGTTTCCTCCTGGACAGCTTTTAACATGAAAACTGCATCATAAGAAATTCTCCGTGCGTTTTCCATCATCACTGAACAGGTCTGTGCATGAAGCGCGAAATCTGGTAACAACACGGGAATGACCTGAAGAAATTAATTCACGTCTATGGTCCTCGAGAGTACCTCGTTGGTCTAGACTTCTGGTCACAAGGTGACAGAGTGGGTGGAGTTACGGTTGGGTAATTAAAACTGAGCAAAATGCTTTGTACATCTGATTACCAGAGGGCATTCTGTCTGTGGGTGCTGGGAGCCACGAGCACCCAGCTCTGTCAAAGGAAAATGTTTGTCAGTGGCAGGAAGCTACCAAGAGAATCAGAATCAGAATAAACTTTATTGGAATTGCACCAAGGTACAACGCGAATATGTATGTACAGTCATCCGAAAGATGGGCGGAGTGCATGAAGCTGCAACTGTAGAAAGCGCGGCCATTTTATCCTTATCAGATAATAATGTTAGATAGGAAAAGGGGGAGAAACATGAGGGTAGATAGTGGTATTACAAAAAAAGATCTTTCACATCTTGTCTATCAGGACACGATTTGAGACATCAGAAAACTCTACCAGCAGCTCAATTAAAACATGATTACATTTGCATCTGACATTGAGGTGTTGAGATTTGTCCATGAGCGTTTTTTCAGATCAGCCACAGTTTCTGAAGATGTTCCAGCCAGCAGTTCTGATAAGCTTGCACAGAAAGTTCTCAGGGGGGGGTGTAATAGATGAAGCTTTTGTCCTTGGGTACTCATGTCCCAGGAGAAATTTGATAGTCGGCCTGTCTCCAAGACCGTCGGGAGTCAGATTTAGATGAGCTTGATTCTTGTTTTTTCTTCAAACAGACAGATTACTTTTTTCTTCAGCCTTGAGTCCATCTGGGCGTTCTGGTTCCAAAAAGCCTAATTGTGGGATTCCATTCCACTGATCCATGCTATGAGTCTCCTTCAAGGTCGAACCCACCACGCTGACGAGTCCCAGAAGCCGCAGGTGGCCTGCGATTCTCAATCGCCTCCACCTTATGGTTTAGCTCGTAAACCAGACAATTCAAAGTTCCCACAGCGTGGACCAGACCTTCACACCGACTTGGAAGCTTTTCCATGGCCGAAACTGCTGCCGCCGTCTTCTTCAAAAGTCGGTAAAACAGAGCCCCGCCGATGCCAAAAAGCAGAGTCCCTGCTATCATAAGTCCAAATATGTGAACGTCTTCAACATCCTCCTGAGACAGAACTGAGAGGCACATCATCTGTCACACTCTCCACGAATCCATGACGTACCCCACAGTGTGCGTCTCAGCTGGACACGCCAGTTCTCCAGGACCTTGTCGCTTTGATGAAAAAATCTTATCAATAGAGTTGAACGCCCACAATACCAAATCCATAATCTTTTAATTTATGACAGCAGGAAGTCTTTCAAAATAAAATATAAAAATATAAATATTGAAAATTATGAAAAAAAAAAAACATTAATAAGACACTCCTGCATATAAACCACGGAGGTACAAAGTGTGAAGAAAAAGTAGCGGCTTGTACACTGGCAATTATGGTACTTACTCAAATAAGCCACTCTGAGGACAAGAAGATTTTTAACCAGTCTTTACTGGCAAGGGTAAATGGTCACAGATGTACAAAGTTATATGCTCAGCGCTTCTTCATGAGAATCTGCACCGGACAGTGTGAGAGCAATGTTTTGATAATACACGCTTATCAGACAGAGCCAGGCTTCCCAGCTTACAGACTCTGAAGCGTTCTTGGAGTTATCAGGTGCGCTGGCAGTCTCCTCTCTGAAGAAGTTGTGAGACCCGTCATGATCTTATGGTGTCCTGTGCTGTGCAGACAATGTTAGCTGCAGGAAACCACAGGTTGTGAAAGCAAGCACTGTGTTGGCAGATGGAAAGTCTCTTAGGGTGCATTCACACCAGACCTGTTTAGTCCGCTTTAATCAAACTATAGCTTGTTATCCTAGAAATTCCGGTTCGTTTGGGGAGGTGTGAACGCGCCATCGAACTCTGTCACAGAACAAAAAGGTGAACTCTGGCCCGGGCTAAAACCTAGGTCTCGGTCCGGTAGAAGAAAACTCCAGCGTGTTTCGAGTGCAGTGTGAATGTAAACAGACCGGGCCCCGCTCCACAAGCAAGAAGTGGAGTACAGCGCAGGACAAACACACACACATTTCTCTTAGCTCATATGGAGCCGTCAGCTGCCTTGTGTGAAAAACAATATTCTCCGTGGTCTTCTGCTTCATCTTCTGCTCATGCTGAGTCCATTTTTGAAAAATGACAAAATATAACTCCTAAAACTGATAAAACTTGATGCCACTCAGTTTTTGTTTTTATTTCCAGAAGATGAAGAAGAAGAAGAAGTGTCTTCAGAGATTTTAGTGTCGTTTCTTTCAGTATGCTGGTGAAGATTCTCAGTCATCCAGGACATGATGAATTCAAAAAGTGTTCAATACAAAAACAACTGGACTTTATTTGTAACAGAAGACGTTTCGCTCCTCATCCGAGGAGCTTTCTCAATTCAAAGAGCAGAGAGTGAGAGATACAGGTTATAAGGCTGAGTGAGATAAGACACACACACACACACACACATAAGACACACAGACACATATGTAGATTGGCAGTTCACACCTAAACACCTAAACACCTTAACAGTAAGAGTCTTTTGTTCCTCTAATTCACAGACGAGGCCCCTTTGTTTCCATCAGGTGTGAAAGCCGGCTGGGAATCTGTTTTAAAGTTGCATTATGTGTTTTTGAAAGTGGGAATCTGAGGCCTCCTCCTCCTCTGTTAAGAGACGGCTTTTCTCTTTTTACATAAATCGCTTCCTTCACCCCCCTCTCAAACCATCTGTGTTCTCGGTCCAAAATGTGCACATTTTGGTCCTCAAAAGAGTGTCCCTTATCTGTGAGGTGGAGGTGAACAGCTGAATCTTGTCCAGAGGATGTGGCTCTCCTGTGTTGAGTCATGCGTCTGTGAAGAGGCTGTTTAGTTTCTCCAATGTAGAGGTCTGGACAGTCCTCGTTGCACTGGACCACATACACTACACCACTCTGTTTGTGTATAGGTGTTTTGTCCTTAGGGTGGACCAGCCTCTGTCTGAGAGTCCTGCTGGGTTTGAAATGTACTGGGATCTTGTGTTTGTTGAAGATCCTTCTGAATTTCTCTGATACTCCAGCAACATAAGGGATGACAATGTTTTTCCATCTGTTGTTCTCCTTTTTCTGTTTATTGGTGTGTTTTGTAGATTTCCTCACTGACTTGACAAAAGCCCAGTTAGGATATCCACATGTTTGAAGAGCTTCTTGAACGTGTTTCTGTTCCTTTTCCTTACCTTCTGTCTTCGTGGGGACGCATTCGGCCCGATATTGTTAAGTTCTGATGACAGAGAGTTTGTGTTCCAGTGGATGGTGGGAGTCAAACAGAAGATACTGGTCTGTGTGGGTTGGTTTTCTGTAAACTTCAATGTT